ATATGATGGAGGCTAAGAAAATACCCTAACACATGAATCCTTACCTTTAAATACACTGAAAACCCTAAAAATTTTGTGGGATTTGGGTTGCACGGTTCTCACATCGTGAGAATATATTCTCACCTCGTGAGGACTCTCACATCGTGAGAATTGCTTTTCACTCTGTGAGAACGGGTTTTCACCCAATTTCACTCCAACTTCAAACAGTGATAACTTCTTCGTTTCAACTCCGTTTTCGGCGATCTTTTTATCCACAGAAAGGTATAACGAGCCCCACACTTTTATCTAATTAATTTTGGCTTAACACATGTTGAACCAAAAATCACAATCCATGCAAGAAGCCTAACAAATAACTTTTTCCATTTTACCCTTTGACTCCATAACACAAACCAAGGGCTTAGATCACATAACCAATATTTTCAACATCCAATAGGGTCTAAACCTTATTCCTTTGAAGCCCAAGGCCTTTATTTGATCCATTTATTGTCCAAAATTTTGAAATAATTTTTTTTTCGAAACAGGATGTTACAATTGAACTCTATTGGGAAGTTTACACAAAATTTAATGTTGCCTTTTTTATTCATTTAAAAGATTATTTGATTAAGTTAATAAAAAGTTAAGTTTAACTCAAGGAATTTATTATGGTTAAATATTTTGGTAAAATAAAATTATTAGAGCGTGTTAATGATTTTCAATACCAGTTTAGACATAACACATTTTAAATAATCGGCTGACGATTAGGTTGTGTCCTTGTGGATTCAACCTACTTCTTCGTGCTACCTTTTAGTACAACCAAGCAGTGAGGTTTATTATATGTTTAGGTTTGATACGCCCAACAATTATCCATTAATATAGTACCTACTTAATATGACCTACATGCTACAACAAACAATCATTTAAGAAAAACTAAAAATAACAAATGATCCTAATTTGGAACTTAGAATATATGAATTTACGATATGCAAATACCAAGTGTGATAATTCCATGGGTAGCCTTTGTTACAAAGAACACAATAAAAAATCATTTCAAACGGAATATGTATACAAAATTTGGAAAGGGAAAGTTGCACTTTTTCATATTTTTCATGGAGTACCCTACCTCAGAGATAAATAAGTATAAGTTCCCGACCTCCAAATTAGGAGTGTGGTATGTCCATGGATAGCCTTTGTTAGAGTGGTATGAGTAAAACTCACTCAACCCACTCAACTCACTAGCATATTAGCTTCACACTCTTTTATCTTTCCAAACCCACAACACATGAAAACAATATCTTTTCCAACTTACTCAACACATTCAATTAAAAACATAAAAATCAACATATGGTACAAATCCTTAAACCGTTGGTACAAGAGAAAAATAAAGAGAGTGATGAAATCGGGTTCCTCAACTCGTCAAAGAGCTTGCATGCGGTCCATGTGCAATGTCGGAGCAACCACCTTGGCGTTGGTGGTACCGCCGATCCAAGGGCCTCAGCCCGTTCCTACTCTGTCTATCCTTATAAAGAGCACAATGAAAAAAATTTAGCCAAAACAGAATTCGTACACTACAAGAAAATTTCGATTTAACTACGGAAAAATTCCATAGCAAAAAGCTGAAATTCCGTAGCTAAACCGAAATAACTACGGAAGTTACTATGGAATTTGCCAATGAGATTCCATAGCAAGATTTCTTGTAGCAATATGTTTAACTACGAAATTATAGTTCCGTAGCAATTTTGCTATGGCCGTTGCTATGACGTCTATCCGTAGCAATTTAACTACAACACACTTCCACTATAATTCTGTAACAAGGAATTACATAGTAAATTCCGTAGCCATTTGTTCCGTAGCGAATTTCGTAGCCAATTGTTTTGTAGCAAATTCCAAATTCCATAGCAATTTGTTCCGTAGCGAATTCTGTAGCCATTTGTTCCGTAGCGAATTTTGTTGCCAATTGTTCTGTAGCAAATTTTGTAGCTATTTGTTCCGTAGCAAATTCCGTAGTCATTTGTTTCGTAGCGAATTTCATAGCCATTTGTTTCGTAGCAAATTTCGTAGCTATTGGTTCCATAACAATAGGTTCCAAAGCAAATTTAGTATGATAAAAGGATTCAACCAAATCCAATTTTCCAATTATAATATTCATAAAATATTTAAAAATGTAGTAAATAAAAATTTAATAGGTACATCAATTTTATAGATATATTACATCATCGAAAATTCTTCTACAAGGTTGCCTAATCATCAAAACTAAATATTAATTACAAATATAGTAACAGTTCAACTGAACCACCACGAACACACAAACAACCACATATGCTCAGCCAAAATGGTAAAACCTGCAAAACCAAATTTTCAATCAACTTGATTAAAGTTCAATCTGTAGTATGAAATCTAAAAATGAATTTAAAATAAAAACAACAAGCTAACTCTTTTATTTGACGCACTATTAACATATACACAAGAATAAAATGAATCACCTTTTGAGCACCATCAAGAAATAAAATAAAATGATTGTCTTATCTTTTCTCTTTCCAAGCTATCACATGATGCCAAAAGGATATGAATCTGTCACATGATGCCAAATCCTTTTGAAATAAAGTTGAAAACAAATGATAACACAATAATCATAGACCTGAATAGTAAATATTAACTTATTTTTGTAACACTTTATTTTCAATTATAAAAGGTAAAGAAAATGAACCTGCATACTGATCTTATTAAGTTATATATTATTGACATTGTTCCATAATTATCTATAATGTTGTTACATGTGCCTTCGAATCTAGTCAAAACCAATACAAATAAAATAAGATATAAGATAACAAGGGTTAAGAAATAGCAACCTACTTTCATTTATTTATTTATTATAGCATCCTACTCTTATTTCATCCTATTAGAACATCGAAAAATCTACCGAACTGTTTACAAAGTAATTTCCATTGATATAATTTGGTAGATTTTTCAAAGTATAATGTTCAAATAAGAAAAAATTGAAAGTACAATGCTATAATAAGCACATAAATGGAAGTACATTGACACCTCTTGTGTAAGATAAAATTTAAAATTTACCAAAAGATTATTCTTTGTATAATATGTATGCTTGTGTGAAATGACAGTTGTTTGCAGCCTACAAAGATAGTGGATGTCAGAAATTATAAAATAACAACAATAATGATAATATAAAAGTCAAAAAATTCAGACATCACATCACATACCTTAACACATTCCAAATATTTTTTTAATAATTATAATAATTGAGAATTAGTTACCTGATTCAATATGCATATTAATGTAAGTGAAAACATGAATTGACTTATTTAACCTGGTCATTGTCATCGTCATCCAAATCTTTAATGAAGCCTTTTATTAGTTCAAATAAAGCCCAACCTACAAAAGATCACAAATGTTAAAAAGTGGAACATTTATTAAAATACAAACTCTACTCTTTTCATCATGAAGATCAACTTTAGGTTGTGGCTTTCTTTTTCTAACCGGATGAAACAAACCCTCATATGGAACTGCACTCCCATGTCCTTGAAAAGGAACAATAGCATTAGCATTCTCATTCTCATTCCTTTCACTATACCCCGAAAAATACAGAACAACCGCCACCCTGTCCTTTTCCTCAATCAATCCATTAATATCCAACCACTCAAATTGTTTAGTAAGTTTATCAAAATGACATCTTAAATTTGGATGACACCCTGCAATAGTGTACACCGATACATATGTCTCCAAAGAAACAGGAAAAGGTGACATTCCATTTCCATCAATCTATTGCTTTGATCCCTGTACACTTGTTCTGCAGTTTGATTATAATACTTCATTTTTTCCATTTTTGTAATTATATTCAACCTTTTAACAAATCAACCAAAAATGTAAATCACAGTAATTACTCACAGTGAAACCACTAGAAATCAACGCAATATCATATAAAAGATCAATAGCTCTCAACGCCCCATCATCACCATTATTACTCCTGCAATCTGCCTGCATCATTCATAAATAAATTATAATCATATTATTTTCTTAAATAAAATATTTTTTTAAATAAATCTTACAGTCAGTCAATGTCAGAATGATTATATGTTACTTTATGTGCTTTTAGCCTTTACAAGTGATTCTAGGTGCAGCCAAGAAGAGTCTTGGGTGAGGCAATTTAGGAGATGACATATCAGGAACTCAAAATCTTGTGGAATATAGTAAAAATTACAATGGTGGTGTAGTGGATTATCTATCTAAGGAGTTGTAGCCAAAAAGACATGATTTTTATGATAATGCTAAAACTATTATAAGACAACAACATGTGCCTTATTTGAAAGAAATGAAAAAATTTCTTTAATTTCTGTCAATTGTGATATAATGTATATTACACAAAAAAGCAATTTTTTTTGGTCTTTTGATTTAGATAGTTAGATGGATATCATTTGTTTCAAGTTTTAGATTGTATAATCTATTTAGGTTATGGTTTCTTGATTAGGATTGCATGATATGTTTTTTGATCAGGGTATGTTTAGTTCTTAACTCCAAGCAAGCAATCAATAATCTCAGTCAAATAACATGTTACTAGTTAAAAATATGAAAATTGAACCATTCAATGAATGCATATGGATTTATGATTTATCTATATTTTCTCTGAGTTATGCTTTATTTTTTTGGTATGATTTTAATGTCATATGGTTCTTTTAATACTGATCACCAAGCCAATTAACACTAAAATAATCAAATGAAATGTGTCTGAACTTTTTCTCCCTTAAACTAATTAACTCTACCACAACCTTTAGAGAAGCTACTATGGAGTTCATAGTTCTCAAAAGCTAAACATTGTTCGAGAGGATCTAATTTATAAAACCAATTACTGGAAAATTGCTCAAATGAACAAAACTACTTTATAACAATAGTACTTACTGAAATTAGACTTCAGAAACTCTAAATTTAATAAGCAATTAGCAAATCTTCTAGAACTTAACATTCTTGCTAAAAATGTTTTAGTTTTTTCATGACTAGAATAGAGAAAAATGGATGGAACGTACCTAGCGATTGACAGAGCAGGGTACGATCGGCAGAGCAGACAAGAGGATTTATAGGATTTGGGGGCGAATCACGGCAGAGGATGTTTGTAGTTCACGCCAAAATGCTTATTAACGGCCTCTAATTTGTTCATGAAATCTCATCAGTAGAAGTCACTTTGGAAGTTGAATTGAACTTTCCCTGTGTGAAAGACAGTCTATAGGTCACACTGTACTCCATCACATATCTCATTGTCATCCAACACCATGGATGCCTCTCCGGAGAAACACATAGGGTTAATGTTGCAAAATACTAATATAGATCACATCGTATCTCTCACGTGATTGGCCCGAGCATAATGCTCTCGTCGAAGTTACCTGATCTTCTCTGGAAAGTAGATGCTCTGTCGGAAAATGTTTTCAAGCACAGATCCAACCTCACCTTTGATTTATCTACACTCAACTTAGCTAACACCGCAACTAATCAATTCGTATACATGACAATTATACATATGTACTGATCCGACTCTAGATTAAACTTGATCCACCTAGTTTCTTCGCCGAAGTTATTGCTTTCCGGACATTAGATACATTGGAGATTAGACTCGCTCCTAGCATCGACTCAACTTCCGACATCGGTAATCAAATAGCTAAAATCCTTTGTAACCACTTCACCGGAGCACTTCATTCAATCACCAAACCTTCTTCGGAAATCTGAGCAGTGAATGCCTAATTCTCTTCCTCTTCATCTCTCTCTCTCTCTCTCTCTCTCTCTCTCTCTCTCTTTATATTGAAGCTACTTCAGCCACGCCGGAATGTTACCGCAGGAAAAACCTCATAGAAGCAATCCATGCTAGGGACCGAAAATACTTAGCTCTTCATCGCATGTGGTCTGAAATGGCGTTGCTTCTGTCTGCCCTAGATCTAGAATCTCTCCTCGAGAATAAATTTTATGAACACGTGAAAGTAGTCTGAGCATTACCAAACTTGATCCGATTTATTTAATTTGAACCATTTATATTCTCATCTCTACTCTAAGCCCCCTAATACTTAATTTACTAAATTACCCTTCAAATGTTTTTATATTTTCACTAACTCACAGTTCCTAAATGGAAGTGGTACGGTTTATAAATCATTTATCAACTAAAATACCCAATATTCTTACCTGATATTACTGGTTTGCTAGTGGAGACCATCCTCTTTAATCTACCATGATTATTTTCTCTTTTAACTGCCCTCAAAAATAATTTTCTATTTTTTTTTGCTATGGAAAGATATTCCGTAGCTACTTGACTACGGAATATTTTGTAGCCAAATAGCTATGGAATATGTTTCCGTTGCTATTTTACAAATTCAAAAACCAAGTTGTATACACAAGTAACTACGGTTAAGATTTTCGTAAAAAATTCCATAATAGATTAGCTACGGAATTTTATTGTGTAGCAAATTTTTGTAGCCAAAGTAGCTACGAATTTCAATTTCATAGCCAACTACCTACGGATTTTAATTTGGTAGCTAGTTATGTAGCTAACAAGCTACATATATGAATTCTATAACAAGTTTCATATTGAACTAGCTATAACCAACAATTCCTTAGCATATTTTGTAGTAAAATAGCTACGTAATTTTGATTTCGTAACAACTATTTAGGATTTAGCTACGGAATGCAATTCCATAGCCATTTTCGTAGCAAAATGGCTACGACCAACTATTATGTAGCATATTTCGTAGTTAAAAAACTACGGATTTTGATTCCGTAGCAACTTTCCGTAGTTATTTAGGATTTAGCTATGGAATGCAATTCCGTAACCATTTCCGTAGCAAAGTAGCTATGACAAGCCATTTCGTAGCATATTCCGTAGAATAATAGCTACACATTTTGATTCCGTAGCTATTAAGAATTTTTCTTGTAGTGGCATGAACAGTTATGAATGTTCAAAGTTCCAGAAAAAAATTGATTTTTACAACCTGCATGCTGGTTAGATTTTCGCAGACAATAGACTGCAAAAATTATTTGTCTATTTTAAATATTTTTCTAATTTTTAGTTATTCTATAAAAAAAAACATTAGAAAAATGGCTTTTAATCTTTTATAGTCTTTGATATTTATGTCCCTTTCCCAAATAAATGTTTATGATTATGGTTTATGAAACACTCACACACCCTCTTTCTTTCTACTAGCATCTCTTTCTCTCCTCAACCCCAAAACCATTAGAAAAAAACCATCTACAGATCTGTATTTCTCTCTCTACTCACCCCGGAGATAAACACATCCTTGAAGATTACTACCCCGACGTAGATGCTTTGTAGATGGAGTTGTGGGTTAAACCGGCCTCATCGTCTAGCCTATGTCAAGTTCGATCAACTGGACTCCTCGTCTTCGTCGTGACAATGGCTATAATTTATATTTGAAATCAAGTGCCCAGAAGCCATTCGCAACCTACCCCTTTTAGTCTCTCTATGTGTATCGTTTAGTTTAATTGGATGTGTGCTTGATCACAAGAGATGAAGATGATGAACGACCAGGTGTGGATCGAAGCTTTATTGGTAACTTTGTGTAGGTTTTAGATTAGGTCCCATCTGTTTTTATGGCTTTAGTCAGTCTTCAAAACTTTTTAGTTATTAGGTTTGATTTGTTTTAGTGGGTTAGTCAACTTTGAATGACTGATTTTTTTTTTTTTTTCACCTCATCCCACATCCAACCACTAAACCATACCCACCACTATATACCTCTTATTTTTTAATTTTTAAATCAAAAAAAGATGTATTTTATTGTAGAAAGAGATAGAAAAACTTAGAGAGAGATAGAGAGACAGATGGAGAAAGAATTTAATTGGAATGGTGATCCGTGCTATACACAACAATTCACACGACCACTATCCACCATTAAACACCGGGATGGTGTTCGTGGTTAGTGGTCGTTGCCACATCAACCACTAATTAAATCCTTCGTGAAGGTCTTAATACATTAAGGAAATCATGGGTTTTGTTTGGTTTTCATTATTGATTCCCCTGTTTTTGGTTTTTGTACAGATAGATGATTATTTATTTATTTATTTATTTATTTATTTTATTTTTTGCAGTACGTGTAACTGTAAGCATCCGCTTTTGAGAACAAGAAGCATGAGGGTACTGCTGTGACCTTGAAACCGGCACTTTTGGTTAAATTAGAAAAACAAAAAACGAGTGAGTTTTTCAGAAAAGTAGTCAAACCACATTTTATTACCATTTCTTCTTTTCGTTTTATATAAATAGATGGAATTTATAGATGAACATGTAGTACTTTGTTGATGTAATTTGTGTGTGCGTCTAAACTTAAGTGTTACTAATATTTTAATGTTATATAACGGTCTTTCCTCAATTAATCATGATGATCTAAGCTCCACACCCCATTAGGATCCTGGGTTGAACGTTAGGACCTCCGTCAGCTGACCGGATTACCAGTTTTAGGTCCAGTTATCGGTTCCTTTGAGCTTTGATAGTGCAAATTTGGTCCGGTTTTTTACAAGTTTGGATCTGAATTTTAAAAGCCTCAATATATTGAAATCTATGAAAATATTAAAATACGTATATCTTATTTTTTTCAAAGTCAGATTAACATTAGATATTTTTCAACATAGAGTTTAGAGTTTGTACTTGAATTTAAGTTGTAATTTCATCGGTTTTGGTTACGTATTCAATAAGCTTCGGTCCCCGAAATAAGGATATCAAAGCTTAAAGATTTTCAGATTTTTAGTTTTTCAGCTTTTATTTGTATTTTGTAATCTATTGAATTTTTATAAGATGTATATCTCATTCAAAGTCGGATTGACATGAGAATGTAGTTTAGAGTTTGTGATTAAGTAAAATGATGTAATTTCATCATTTTTGTTTCCTATTCATGAGTTACGGTCCCCCAAGTTAAAATATCAAAGCCTAAAGATTTTCAGCTTTTTAGCTACTGTTTCAACAATTTGTTCCATATACAACTAACATTGTATTGGTCCAACGGGTAAAAGAAGCGGAAAAACCGGAACCAGTATGCCTCCACAGGTTTGGTCCTCGGTCATCAATTTTCCTTCAAATCGGTCCAATCAAAAAAACCGGTTCTCGATCTAAAAAAAAAAAAAAAAAAACAAACTTTGTACCTTCTAAAAAAATAAAAAATAAGGTTTTGAAAACTTTTCATTGTTATAAATTGGTATTTTTTTTTTGTTCCAGATGATGCAAAGCCCTAATGATGATATGTTCCTCAAGGAGGCCATCAAACCCGACCCGAGTGGAGGGAAGGTGACCAGGACGAATGACATTGCGGTACAAACGCAATACCTTTATGTCCGTGTAGTGAAAGCAAGGAATTTAGGTGCCAAGGATGATACTGCAGGTAGTTGTGACCCTTATGCTGAGGTTCGGCTGGGAAAGTATAAAGAAACAACTCGTCATTTTGAGAAGAATTTTCATCCTCAGTGGAACCAAGTGTTTGCTTTCACTAAAGACAGGATTAATAAGGCGTCTGTGCTTGAGGTCACTATAAAAGATAAAGATATGGTGAAGGATGATTTCATGGGGTGGTTATTATTTGATCTTACCGAGGTTCCAAAGAGCGCACCACTGGATAGTCCTCTAGCTCCTGTATGGTATAGACTGGAAGACAGGAAAGGGAACAAGTTGCAAGGAGAGGTTATGTTAGCTGTGTGGTGGGGTACTCAAGCTGATGAAGCTTTACGTGAAGCATGGCATGCAGATGATGATGGTGATGCTGCTTCTTCTCCTGTTGTTGGAGCTGATGCTCTTGCAAATAATATCCGTTCAAAGGTGTATCTTTCTCCTACTCTGTGGTATCTCAGAGTTAATGTGATTGAAGCCAAGGACTTGGTACCCAGTGATATAACTAAAACCCCTGAACTTGTTGTGAAAGCCACCCTTGGAATTCAGACTGAATGGACTCGCGTATCCACAAGCAGGTCTATCAATCCTAATTGGAATGAGGATTTGATGTTTGTAGCTGCAGAGCCATTTGAAGAGCCTCTGATATTGAGCGTGGAAGATAAGTCTGCCCCTTACAATAGTAAAGTATTTGGAATGTGTGCAATTCCTTTGCAGAACGTGGAACGAAGATTAGATGACAAAGCTATAAACAACACAAGGTGGTTTAATCTGGAGAAGGATAATGTTACCATTGATGTTGAAAACGAGAAGGAAGTCAAGCTTGCTAGCAGGCTTCATACGAGAATCTGCTTGGAAGGTGGTTATCATGTTCTTGATGAATCTACTAACGTCTGTAGCGATTTCAGGCCAACAGCAAAGAAGTTATGGAAGAAAAGCATTGGGGTTCTTGAAGTGGGAATCTTGGGTGCTAGTGGGTTATTACCAATGAAGAAGAAAGATGGAAGGGGAAGGGGAAGGGGAACAACAGATGCATATTGTGTGGCCAAGTATGGGAAAAAGTGGGTCAGAACAAAAACAGTAACAGACAGTCTTTCTCCAAAATGGAACGAGCAATGCACTTGGGAAGTTTTTGATCCGTGTACTGTTGTAACCATTGGTGTGTTTGATAACTGCCATTTGCCAGGTGGAGAGTATAAAGCCGGAGGAGGGACTAAGGATTCAAATATCGGGACAGTCAGAATTCGCCTTTCAACCCTTGAAACGGACTGCATTTACACTCATGCGTACCCTCTTCTGGTTTTGCCACCATCTGGGGTGAAAAAGATGGGTGAGATTCATTTAGCTGTGAGGTTTACATGTTCTAATTTGCTAAACATGATGCATATGTACTCACAACCTTTGTTACCCAAAATGCACTACATCCGTCCGTTGACAGTGAGACAACTCGATATGTTGAGGCACCAGGCGACTCAGATTGTGGCCATGAGGCTCAGCCGGGCTGAGCCGCCATTGAGAAAAGAGGTGGTGGAGTATATGCTTGATGTGGATTACCACATGTTTAGCTTGAGAAGAAGTAAAGCGAATTTCTTCAGAATCATGGGTGTTTTAGGCGGTTTGATTGCAGCTATAAAATGGTTTGATGATATACGTAATTGGAAGAATCCAATCGCCACTGCTCTGGTTCACATCGTTTTCGTTATATTGGTGTTGTATCCGGTGTTTATTCTGCCCTCTGTTTGCCTCTCTCTCCTTTCAGTTGGAGTTTGGAACTACAAATGGAGACCAAGGAGTCCTCCCCATGTGGACACTCGCCTCTCTTATGCAGATAATGCACACCCTGATGAACTAGATGAAGAATTTGATACCTTTCCAACATCTCGTCCTGCTGATGTTGTAAGGATGAGATATGACCGTTTGAGGAGTGTTTGTGGAAGGCTTCAGACGGTTGCTGGTGATATAGCAATACATGGAGAGAGGCTTCTGTCTTTACTCAGCTGGAGAGACCCCAGAGCTACAACACTCTTCATAATATTCTGTTTGATTGCTGCTATTGTTCTATATGTAAAACCTTTTTATGTTGTTGTCATTCAGACAGGCTTTACTGTGTTAAGCCACCCAAGGTTCCAGCACAACCTACCTCTCGTCCCACTCAACTTCTTTAGAAGATTGCCATCGAAATATGACTGCATGATATGAGAAAAAAGATATGCAACTTTCTGCTTCATTACAAACCTCTTGGTCTTTGCCCTACAAATATGGTGCAGAATCACAAGGGAGTTCCTTCAATTATTCTTCTCTCTCATGCATGTAGCAGAAGAGTATTAATTGTTGGTCTGCCTTTTGGCTTGTAGTTTAAGTTTGTGTTTTTGTTTGAATCAATAAGTTGTTATTAGTATGTAGTAGCAATTATCTTAGCTAGGCGTACAATAATTATGTTGGACTGGCTTTTAAATGTGTGTGAATTGCGTAATAAGTTTGACATGTGCTCTACAAAACATGCTTCTAAATAGTAAATGATGTGTCTTATTAGTAATAAGTTTCACGACAGCTTTGAAATAGCACTAAAGTCCTTAACAAAGTGTCCATAAATTCATGCATGTCCCAACTCCCAACTACAACCGATTCCGTAATCAGAAACTTTTTCTTCTCCAAACTTGGTACTAAACTTGTCCCCGTGTAATGTTTTATAACTTTTTTACAATTGTTAGAGAAAATTATTTAAATGATGACCCAAATATAGAAGAATCACCCGTGAAGATTTTAAAAATAATCCAGACCATGTGAGAAAAAGAATATCATAAGGCTTTGAAAAGTAGTATGGGGAATGTAAGTTGTTTTTATATAATTTGAATTACATTCACGGAAAGCAAAAATAAGATATATATTTGAACAATCCATACACTAATTTAATATGTTTGTTTGTGTTCCTATGCCTAATATTTTAATTAGGATTAAACTAATTTAGTATTGAAAAACCTTTTTTTTAAATCCAAAATACCATATGATATTACTAAACTATCATTCTTAAATTATAACAATAGGATTAAACTGATTTAATTAGAATTGAAACCAATTTAATATTTAAAACTTTCAAGCCTTCAATGTCATTTTTTAAAGCTTTCGACCAACATATATTCAAAATGTAATAACATGTAAATGAATAGACAAAAGTCATAAAACTACATTATTTAATATAAATATTAATGTAAAATAAGTCTAAGAAAAACAAAATTCTTTTGATGTCAATGTTGGTTTAAATTGTTTGTTGTTGTTAACTTCGTTAATCAAATATCGACATAATGCTATTCAATTGAATCAATACCCATATTAGTAATCGCAAACCCTTTTACGCAATTGATAAACACACAAGTCTATAACACTAGATTTTCCCAAACTCCAAAGAACATCTAGTGAACGATACCAAAATGCTTATAAACACTCCAAAACATTAGATCTATGCATAAGAATCATAAATATTGAATCTTTATAACTTATAAATGTGCAGAAGATGATTGACAATTTTAGAACTTCATTGTATTTTGTTTCTCTAGCACAAAAGACACGTTCTCCTCCTTCTAACTCAAGGCACTAGAACACCGTAAAGGGAAGAGAGGAGGCTAAGGTTTGCTTCTACGGTTCTCTCTGAAGGATCAAGGCTACAAATGAAAGAAACCCTAAGAGTTAGAGTCTTTAAACAGGACCGAAGACCCGAGACCTAGGGTTTTGAGTTTTGCGGTGGTGCGTCACGCCTTGCACTTAAGACATGTCGCGCCCAACACACGCCACAATAGATGCTCTGCGTTCCAACTCAAAATCAACATTCTCAAATTCATGAATTTATAAAGAAGGTGTCACAGAATATGGGGTGTTAGATGGCCAAAAGGCCCAAAACAATTTGCTTTTGGTCATTTTGAATGTCAAACACATGTTTTGCTTTTGCAAATAAAGCCTAGGAAATTAACGGGTGTGTAAGAAAAATTCTTAATTTTTGTGTAACTTTTAAAAATACTTGATAAATTTAGTGAGATTTATCTGTTTTTTCTCTCAAAAAATTATAATCGAGTAATCGTCAAAAAAGTATATAACTATATAAGTAAAATAACTTGAATTGGGTTCGATCGTTTGGTTTGGTCTAACCGTGGATACCATCAGTGCAATTTTTGAAACAACAGAAATCAACCAGAAGGAAGAAAGACCTTGGAAACTAGTGTAGCGATGGCGGAGGAAGATGATGATTACATGGGCGACCTCTCTCAGTTTCTACCTTCCGAATCCCAACCCTCTCCAAATCCTCCCGCCCAAAAGGTGAGCCATGCAACATATAGTAATTGATTTTACATATCAAATGAATATTTGTCAAAACCCTAGCTTTTCAATTTGTATCAGGTTCCTAACATCAATGGTGGTAGTAAAGCAACTTCCTTACAATCTTCGAAGAAGAGACCCAAAACTCGAAATTGGCAAGAACAAAGAAAGCTCAAGCGAGAAATCAAGCAAGTGGAAGAGGATGAACGAACCCTAGCTAGCCTAGAATCAGCCATCCCCCAATCCAACATCGGTTTCAAGATGTTGAAGCAGATGGGCTACACTCCTGGGTCTGGTTTGGGTGGTTCGGGTCGGGCGGAGCCTGTGGGGCTGGAGATTCGGAGGTCGAGAGCTGGAATTGGGCGTGAGGATCCGATAAAGGAGAAACTGAGGAAAGATGAAGAGATGCTTTGGGAGAAGCGGAAGAAAGAGGAGGAATTGATGGCGGATTTTGGGTGTAGGGTTAAGGAGAGGTGGCGGAATAAGAGGGTGGTGGTGAATTTTCACAAGGCTAAAGGGGTGTTGGATCAATTGGAGAACAAAGAGGTTGTGGAGGTAGAGAAGAAAGATGATGATGATGAAAAAGACGATGAAGATGATGAAGAGGAGGAAGTGATCACAGAAGAGGTAAATAAAATGGTTGCATTTCTTTGATTCTGACAGACACATTATTACATCAATGATTTTATTTGAATTCAATTCCATTTGTCAGTTGATTCATAGAAATCAGTTCTTGGTTTTTAGATTTTTGTTATTAAGTTGTCATTTTAAACTCTTTAATTATGCAGGATCTGCACGAAATATTAATGAAGCTGAGGGATGATTTTAGTTACTGTCTGTTTTGCGGATGTCAGGTGTGTTGTTGTTTTATGCTTTCTAGTTTAATCATTTGTTTCTTGTTCCCAATTGTTTGTTTGACTTTTGTTGACTCTGTTTCAGTATGAATCAATGGAAGCACTCTTGGCTAACTGTCCTGGCATAAATGAAGATGATCACTAGCACTTGTAGAGATAGTGGAAATTTTTTGCATTTAGGTATAATGAACAAGAGATTCATGATTGTAATTAACATTCTGATAAGTTCATTGAAGAAGGTACTTTTTTATATATGATCATATACAAGGATAGTTGCATTTTATGTATTATGTGGGATGAATGGTGTTAAGGAAGAGGCCAATTTGCCTGAAAAGCCCTAGATGCTTAATCTAACTGTAGAAATCCTTATGGTTGTATAGCTTGTTAAAGGAATGACATGGTATTTGTTATTTTGTGATATAGTTTTGATGACATTTCTATAATGTTGCAAATGGATATCAAGAATAGGTTTTCCTCCTTTGAAACAATAGATTTGCCTCCCTTTTTTTTATCTCTGTTTGGTGATATGAGTATAAAAAGGTATTATTATCTAACTTCAGATTAGTAGTTGATGTTTGTTAGAATGAAAAATCAAATGAATTAGATAAAGGATCACATTTAAATAAAAAAATAAAAATAAATAAATAAATAAATAAAAATTTGTTTCAGATAAGCCTGTAAAAAGTGTTCGAATTTACTCCAACAAAAAAGATGTACTATTATATGTGGTTTTAAAATATATAAATATATTCAGGATAAAAATCCGATTTTGCGAAGCGGTTAAAAAGATGGTAACCTTTATGAAATCGGGTTACAAATCATCGGATCCGACAAACCTATTTGGTTTTTCTTTAAAAAAGCCCAATGTTTTAAAACCCGGGTTTTTAGTTGACCCGGTGTGATGATCGATTCACGGGTCAACCGGTTGAACCGTCGGGTCAATCCGGTTTATGGTCTTTTTCTATTTTTATATACTTTTACTTTCCTTCATAATGCATAAACATATAAACCAATAATTTGATGTCCACAAAGTTTAAACATTGAAGAAACCGCAAACCGCTCGTTGTTTTGGCGTTCACTATTTGTATCCAACTATCCAAGCCCTATTAAAACGGTTATCCAACTATTATAAAAACGGGTCAATCCGGTTTTACCGGTTCAACAATAAGCGGTCGAACCGTGGTTTAGGGGAAACCCGGCCGGTTCGATCCAGTATGTATTTTTACAAAAAACCGTTCTCAATTGACCCGCCTTCTACCCCGGGTCACGGTCCAACTGGTTGAACCGGCCGGGTCGACCCGGGTTTTAAAACATTGAAAAAGCCGCTTGGTTTACTTTTGGATTTTATAATTTCTCCGCTTTCATTGCATGCAAATTTTTCGCAATAACTTGTGAAAATTCAAAGCTTCATTTTTGCATAAGGACTAATATTATAAAAGCCCTAAATTTTTAACGCGTAATTGGAAAAAGCCCTAATATTTTTTTTATTATTGTTATGACCACAACTTTCTCGCAGAATTATTGTTTTAGCCCACTTAACGAGTTTCATGGTTAACTTGGTTATTTTTTTTTTTGCAAAATCAGTCTTAATAAGTTCAAATTTGGTTCCTGAGGTTTGCAAAAAATTACACCACATGGTTTTTTAACATTATTTTTCGTTTTTTGTATATTTTATTTATTTTCGGGTTTTTTATAAATATATACATTTTTTATTTTCTTTTTTATATATATTTTATTTATTTTCATTTTTTAACTTTATTTTTCAACAATTTGAACTTTTTTTTTTTACCTTTTTACCTTTTGTTTTCTATATATTTTTTTCTATTTTAGTTATTTATGCTTTATCTAATGTTTTTATTTATTTAGATTCAAGAACTTGAATTCAATTTAAATTACTATAACAAGTTTTTTTATAGAGACCGATTATTATTATATTTTTTATTCTTTCTTTTAGTCTATTATCAAATTGAAAAATATTATCTTCAATTTAAACTATTGATATCACATATAAAAATATGATTTAATTTGCAAGTTATACAACACATTGCAACACTAACTCTCAATAAAAAAATCTATTTTTTTTTAATTTTCATTTTTTCGTAACATAAATATAATAGCACGAAAGAAAAAAAGAATAAAAAGAAAATAAGTTGGACTGAAATTACAAATATAAACATAACTATTTTATTTACTCGAATAAAAATAAAAAAATTACAAAAACTATAAATTATCAAAATTGTAATATACTCTAATATATTAATACCTTTTACATTTTTTGAAAAAAGTTAAAAATACAAAAAATTAAAACAAATAACTGAAATACAAATAAGAAAAAAAATAAATAAAAAGATAAAACGGTTAAAAATATAATATGAAAAAAAACTATAAAAAAGAAAAAAAAAACTCTAATATACTTTATATATACACTAAAAAAATAGAAAACAAAAGGTAAAAAAAATCAAATTGTTGAAAAATAAAGTTAAAAAAATGAAAATAAATAAAATATATATAAAAATAAAAAATGTATATATATTTATAAAAAAAACCCCGAAAATATACAAAAAACGAAAAATAATGTTAAAAAAACATGTGGTGTAATTTTTTGCAAACCTCATGGACCAAATTTGAACTTCTTAGGACTGATTTTGCAAAAAAAATTAACCAAGTTTACCATGAAAACTCGTTAAGTGGGCTAGAACAATAATTCTGCGAGAAAGTTGTGGTCATAGCAATAATAAAAAAAATATTAGACTTTTACCAATTACGCGTAAAAAATTTAGGGCTTTTATAATATTAGTCATTTGCATAAATATGGAGAAAGGTTTTTAAGTCTTGCATTAATATACTACATTACTTGTTGGTTATTAGCTTCAAATTTAAAGAGATGTTTGAGATTATTTTCCAAAACAACTTATTTGCTTATTGGCTTTTTGAAAAACTAATAAATTAAAAAAAATGTTTGGCAAACTCAAAAGCACTTTTCAGAATAAATTTTCTATTACCAAAAGACTTTTGGCCTAACGGTATATAGTGATCATCTCAAATAAGAGGTCATGGGTTCAAGTCTCTTAGGAGACATCAGTGTTGTAAAACTCGCCGAGTTGGCCAATTACTCCTCCGAGTACTCGCTACTCGGCCCCTTGCCGAGACGAGTTACAGAATCCCGAGTACTCCCCGATCGACCCCTTACTAAACTGAGCAGTGTTGTAAATCTCGGTCAACTCGGTGATTAATATGTATAATATACTTAATGATTTATTATTTAACATACACACATGTGATTATTACTACATATATATCTTAAATTTTCAGTAATTAGTCACGAAGTGAGACCATTATTTGTTTTTTTTTTAGTTTTTGTGTATTCACATGTATCTAATTTTGTTATATATTTCAATCAACTTATTATTTTAACTTATGATTTTGACATATATAATTTCCCTAAAAATATTACTACATGAATTACCAAATCCGAGTACTCCCCGAGTACTCCTGGGTACTCCCGAGTACTCGCTACTCGGTAGTCGGCCGAGCAGGTACCGAGTAACGAGTTCTACAACCTTGGGAGACATACATGGTATTTAAGAGTAGGTTTATGAAACGACCCAAAATACGACTCAAATTTTTTTTTTTGTTTTAATATAACTAAAAACCAAATCCTCGAATATAATAAAATCATGGAATGAGTAACTCAAATGTCATAGTACTATGTCAAAACAAAACTATATCAATCATAACAGTGTCCGAAATAAACTCCCAGGATAAACTGAAGTTGTGGTGTGTGCGATACCATCAACCCGAGCTCTTCCCTTTGCAAGCGGAAGTACCTGAAACCAAAACTGAAACTGTAAGCACGAAGCTTAGTGAGCTCCCCCAAACTACCATACAATAACACATAAGCAACTATTGGGGATTGCCCACTGCATCGGACCGAAGTCCGGAAACTGCATCGGACCGAAGTCCGGGACTAACTGGGACCGTGTCCTCTGCATCGGACCGAAGTCCGGAACTAACTGCATTGGACCGAAATTCGGAACTGACCGGGACCGTGTCCCCTGTGTTAGCCCTTTGTATGTATGTTTTTAGCTTAATTGTTCTTTCCTTTTTCTTGCATTTCATCATATTCATGTTAGTCTCTAGAACAACCTCATTTGCACACTTTCATGTCTTTTTCAGGTAAACCGGAGCTTGGAATGCGCTTTGGGAGGTGCCGGGAAGCATCGGTAAAGATTTCGGGATGATCGGGCGAAGAACGAAAAAGTTGAAAAAAATCAAGTTGGGAGTCGGAGTCAGAAGGGTACACGGGCCGTGTTGGTTTACACTGCAAAATCAACACGGGCCGTGTTGACCAAAAATGAAAGCTGTTGACCAAGCTGAACACGGGCCGTGCCCTTTTTGCCTTATGCTGAACACGGGCCGTGTTCGGCCCAAGAAAACTAACTTTTGGCAGTTTTTCTATTTTTCATATTACGGAAAATTGGGTCATTTTGGGGGACACACAACATATCAGAGCACCATTGGAGAGGAGAATTCGAAGGTTTTCGCAAGGGTTTGTCCGTTAATCATTTGGAAACATTAATTCTCGTTTTTGTAAGTTGTAATTACACTTAATTTCATCTTTTAGACTTGTGATCTTGTTCTAGCCATGTGTGGCTAGAACCCTAACTTCTCCAATTTCATGTTTTGACTTTTTGGTTGTGAATCAAATCATATGACCTGATGTTTGTGTTTAATTTCTATCTAGTGAAATTGATTTTACTTCAATCGAATGTTTGATTCTAATAATGATTCTTATTGGCCATTTGAATTAGGGTTAGGTCATTCAAGTTATTCATTCTGCAAAATCCGTAATTGTTTTGTGAATTGAACTAAGTAACAAGCATTAAATTGATTTCTTATGAATGAATTTAGTGTAAATCTTTTCACACATTCTTACGCTCCCGAGCTTGTGAGGAGTATTGGGTGTTGTTGGGAACATTCACAATAAGCTTAATGCAATCTTTTAATCTACTTCTAAGAGCTTGTTTAGATTAGGTTAGTAAGGTTAGGATTAATCAAAGAGTTTGTTTTGATTGATTAGTGTGGTGAATGGAAAGTGTTAGAGCTTGTTAACACTTTCAAGTACCAACTTAGATAGAATGAAACAAATGTCTTGTCATCTTTGATTCACATTGCTGGATTGTCATACATGGAGTTGGAGTCCTTACAAAATCTGAACTTAATTCATTAGTTTAGTTGTTTACTTGTGTTTTATATTGGTTTGCTACATCATTACACTCAAACCCCCCCTTATTTAATCTTTTGTGAACAAATACCTTACGCAAAGAGGTATATACTAATTATCTCGTGTCTCTGTGGATCGACCCTACTTGCCTTGTACTATCTTTCTAGTGCAATAGAGTAGTGTACTTGGAGTCATTTGTACCCCTTTATTTGTTGGGTTTGACACGCCTAACACCCTGCATCGGACCGAAGTCCGGAAACTGACTGAGCATAACATAAATATATCAACTAGCATAAGCACATATACTGCATACTGCATCGGACCGAAGTCCGGATCTACTGCTAACTAGACGGGTCGGCATTGTGGCCGTAGACCCGTTCCTACTGGAAGGAAACTCACCTCGTAACGCTGACTGTCGAGATGCTAAGTCTGAAACTGCCTGACCGTTGTTCCGGAACTCCCCGGCTACAAATCCCATAAACACTAAATCAAATACTGATAACTAATCTCAGGGTAAAATGATTATTTACCCCTGGGCAAGTCAAAGTCAACTTCCTGGTCAAAGTCAACTTCCTGTTGACCGGACTCGCCGAGTTGGGCCGTCAACTCACCGAGTCCCTATCATCCATACTAGACTTCTACCCGCTTCTACTTGTCGAGTTTGGCAAAGACTCGACGAGTTCTTCCTCGATGCTAACATCGAGTCTAACTTCATCCGACTCGCCGAGTTGTATGAACAACTCGTCGAGTTCTCCTTCAACATATAAACACGTCCAGTCTGTGACTCGCCGAGTCGTATGAACAACTCGTCGAGTCTGAAGAACAACTCGTCGAGTCCCAAGCATGCTATTACTATACAGTCGATTCCAGTGCTTCCAAAACATAGATCTGAGCTTCTAGGACCGGTTTTACACGTAAAGTTTCCAACTTTACGTGTATGCACAAGGGTATGAGGCTAAAATACCCAAACTCATCAAATACTAAGCACTTAGGGTTTGGAACAAGGCCAAGATTGCATAAAGGTGGCTACAATGAGCTCCTGGAGTTCAAGAAAGGCTAGATCTGAAGTATAACTCGATCATAAGGCTTTATTACAAAGGATTTGGGGTTTTTGAGCGTAATATCAACAATTTGGGGACAAACTAGATCTATAAGATCAATAAGCAAGATGGAGACTTTATTACCAAAAAAGATGACCACAAAGGAGTGTGTTCTGGATCTACTTCCTCTTCCTTGAACTCTTCAACCTTCTCCTTCTTCTACTTGCTCCAAAATGCACCAAAAGTTCCTTCACAAAGCAACAATCACTCACACACTCTTTAAGGGGCTAGGGTTTGGTAAGAAATGCTCTGAGGCTGATGGAGGCGAAGTTGGGGCTCAATAAGATGTTTAAATAGGGTGCAAACCCTTAAAATTAGGGTTTCATCCAGACAGGCGGACTCGCCGAGTCCTAGCATATGGACTCGTCGAGTAGTCAGCTCCATTTGCGTGATCATCCCGCCTCTACTCGACGAGTCGGGCTACAGACTCGTCAAGTACCCCTTAAGAAATGAAAATACTTATTTAAATTACATACCAGAAAATGGGACGTTACAGTTTAGATAGTTTGCCGTTAAAAAAAAGAATAGTTTTTCTATTATCTTCAAAAAACACTTTTCAATAAGCATGTATGACTTGACTTTTTGAAAATGATTATGACATTTTTAACTTATTAATTTATTGGTTTTTTCACATAAAAGTTAATCCAAACTTTTTAAAAAACAATTTTAAAGTTCAAAAAACATTCTAAACACCTCTAAATCGAATTAGATGGCATAGTGGTCATTTTATCGTACTTAGTATACTATTAGAAAACGAAATGACATTTCCACTTAAGAAATTAATCATCTATATTGTACAAATTAGTAAAATATATATTTTATATAGATGAATAAAATCCTTAAGCGGAAATATTACTTCGCAAAAATATACATTACTTGTAAAGAAATAGATTCATGAAAACCGTAAATAAGTGGGATTAGAAAAAAGCTATACCCAACATTTGAATACACTATAAAAAAAGTTATCTCCCATTGGTAGAATGCTAGAATCAAAGTACTAATGAATTCAAACGATTAACAATTTCCATTCCTAAATCCATAAAATATGAACATATCAAATCCTTCTGCACAGTACAAAATAAACAGTCATTAAATCCTAAAAAAACTAACAAACTAAAAATAAACATAGTCATAAAACCCTAAGAAAACCTAACAAACTAAAAAAATCAAGCACAAACTGCCTCCACAACTAATCTCTTTCTAACACCATGATCGCAATTCGTTAATCCAAATACTCCTTCATTTGCTTCAATCGAACATACTTCTTTTCCAACACATTCCTGCAAGATTCAGTAACATTAGTATCAATTCAAAACAACAAAACAAGTAGATCATATAAATTACTTTCACATACCTTCTGAATTACAGAGATCACGTCATTTTTCGCTTGACAACTTCCTTTCCTAAACGACCCACAGCTTCCTTTCACATCACCAAACGAAGCAAATCGAATAGAAGAAATCGATCGATTTTGGCACGAAATCTCCATCGTCTTGTTCTCATACGCATTACCACATGTCCTCCCAACCCTAACTGTCTGGAAATTCACCGACATTGGATTGCCTCCGTATTCTTCGAAAAGGACCAATTCATTCTCACCATTCACCAAAAACGATCGAGGAACATGGTACCTAAATCGATAATTTCAAACAATTTAGCCTCAAAACAAATCCTACGTAAACCCCAATTATACCCTAGAAATCTTACCATTTTTGCGTAGGTTTACCACAATTTGTAACGCATTTAGTGTTATTATATGGCCCACGATAATCACAAGCTTCATTCGAGCAACCGGTTTCTTGAGCGATGTAACTCGGCCAGTATCTTCCGATGTTGTTTCCGTTAACCCAAGCGACGCCTTTACCTAATCCTTCCAGATCCAATGACACAGGTTCGTTTCCTAATGGAGCCTTGAATGTTGTCTGATTACAAACAATTAACAGAGATTTCATTAATCAAAACCATTAACAAAAACAGATTTTGGTTTGATTATTGATTCAATAAATACCTTGTACCAAATCATCTTTTGAGAAATAGGAAGATCATCAACTCGCCATTCGGATGTATTTCCAGAAAAGAATTTGTTGTCAAATCCATCCAATCCAACTTTGTAATACCATTTTTTGGTTGATAAGTCTTTGATTATCGTCTCGTCTCCTTTCTTTCCTATAATTTGGACTGGACCAGGGACTCCTGTTTGAATCAAATCGAATTTTGGCCCATAATTCTGCACAAAATGTCAACGAAATATTACTATAAAACTGAAATTATCTTTGATTCGGTCTTTACAAAATTATTGAAAATTACCTGCAACCCAATTGTGGCACTGAGTAGAATGATCTTATTAGGACCAGGGTTCAACTTGATTTTCTTCTCAAACACATAATTAAAAACACCATATGTAGCACTTTGGTCACTAAGATACTCGCCATTTACATATACATGAAGAACTTGACCAGTAGCGTTGACTATCAGACTCATATCATCGCTCCATACGGGGTCGTTTTTAGTAAGGTAGAAACTATGCATAGAATTACAAAACTTGGTTAGAATATGATAAATTTTAAAAACTTTGTTAAATTTAAATAAGAAGAGTTAAAATTATTACTTTGTCATGTACCACAAGTAATCACTAACATCATTTGCAACTTTCTGATCAATAAGTTTCTTGGCACTAACTCTACCAGTGCCTCTAAGGGCTAAATCGTCAATTAACTCCGGCCTCCATACCCATTTTAATGCTTCGGGTTCACTTTCTGCTTCGTTACATTGCTTTTTCATGACCCAACTCTCAGTATTTACCTATCAAGAAATTAACCATTTTTCCATAATAAATAAATATATGAATGTATTCGGGTTTTATTTGAATTTTTATTCTTACCTTAGCAGTGTTGTAAATTTCTTGTTTACAGTTACGAAGTATGCTAACGGACCAAGCAGGGATATTGTAGTGGTTTCCTTCGTAAACAATATCAGCATCTGTTGTAGTGTTGGCATTGACAAAGAAGCAACTTTGTCCATTTGTTGTCGCATATATTGTGCCCTTATCATATTAAAATATTAATATAGTTAGTGATTATTTTAGTATAAATGAAATGTATAAAAGAAGAAGAAGAAGAAGAAGAATTACCGAAACTGAATTGCCAAAATTAATGTTTGTAATATTTCCATGTGTAAGAATGTTTTCCATTGAATGAAGAACATCATGAAGCTCCTTCAAATGCCCGTATTTTGGTTGATTTAAGTTACCTATATAACAATAACAATATAAATATACAAAAGTTCAAGTTAAAAACATTAATATTCTTTATTATATAAATAATAGTGAAAATGATTTAAAATTTTAATTACCATATTCATCAAGTGGTGCATCATAATCATACGAAGTGGTAATATATGGACCTCCGGCAGTTCTACCAAAATTGGTGCCACCATGGTACTGATTAAAACATATTATTATCGACAATCGTCAACATAATAAAAATAAATATTTTCGGTGATAAAAAGAATCATTTTTTTTAATAATTAAATACCATATAGTAGTTTTGGAAAGTGCCACCACTTTGAAAAAACCTTGCAACAGCAAAAGCAACATCTTCAGCTGTTCTCTTCGGGTCTAAACCTCCCCAGTTTTTAAACCTAAATTCAAGGAAAAGTAATTGAAATACTACCATTAAATATATGTAAATGAAATAAATAAATTTAAGATAATAAAACGGAGTATGAAAGGAACTACTAACCATCCAGTCCAATTCTCAGTCCACATCTTTGGGCTGTTAGGATTATTTGGAGTGAAATTATCACAATACCATCCATTACAAGTATTTATCTACCACAAAACAAAAATTAAAACACCAAACTTTAATCAAAATATTATTTTACAAAATTCTAATAATAATATTAATATCTTAAAAAATATTACCATGGGTTGTGGAGCATCTGGCTGTTGACACATAATCCAAGGAACTCCAATATCAAGTGAATTAGCCATATTCGCACACCAGTCGATATAAGCTTTCCCCGCAGCTCCATATGATGAAATTACATTTCCATATTCATTCTCAATCTGTTATTTTTATATAAATTAATGATTGATTTTCTTCTTTAAATAGTAAATATTTAAAGAAATAGTAATAAGAAAAAATAGAAAAAGAAACGAAACCTGAGCAAGAATAATGGGTCCTCCCTGGGCAGCAAAGAGGTTCTCTTCTTTAACCATATTCACAATCTTTGTCGTAAAATTTTGCATCTCATTCTATTAAAAAAAATGTAACATATTAATAAATATGTTATTGACTCATTACAATATTTTTAATAAAATAAATATACAGAAAAAAAATAATGATATATACCATGAAGACAGTATTTGCAGTACGAAGCTCAATTCCAGGCATGTTATGCAACCACACAGGAAGGCCTCTATAAATTTTTATAAAACAAAATAATATCGTTGGTAAAGTTATTAATTATGGCATGAAATAATAAAAGGTGATTTAAACTGAACTTGAAAGGAAATGAAAATATACCCATAATTCCATTCAGCACAAACATATGGGCCAATACGAAGAACAGCATAAAGTCCTTCACTTTGAATGGTTTTAATAAACCTTATAAGATCCAAATTACCAGAAAAATCATATTTACGAGGAAGAGGCTCATGAGCATTCCAAAAAACATAAGTTTCAATAGCGTCAACACCTCCTTCCTTCGCTTTTCTAATCAAATCAGGCCACATCTAACCAAACAAACACAAGAAACAGTAGTCAATAAATACATAGTTTTTTCAGCAACATTTTAGTAGATATATATTTTTTGTGACTCCATTATTACCTCAGCAGTGCTACGAGGGTAGTGAATAGAACCAGAAATGATGATACGACGTTGGCCATCAATGGTAATTGCTCGCCCATCATGAGAGACTTCAGTGGCATTAATGGTATTGAAGAAACACAAGAGAAGAACCAAGCAAAGCTTAAGTAAACACTGAAACTTGAAAGAAGTCATCGATCGTTCATAATCAAAACGATGGTGTTATCCTTTGTATTTATACAGATGAAAGTAGAGTCAAATTTCGTTCCGGATTATGAGAATATCTAGGGATTTTCTTTTGACTAAGTTGGATAAAATTTGGATAATTATCTTTTAGTTCTCATCTAATACAACGTTTTTGTGGGTTGAGTTGGCATCATAACCCCCTCTATTGTGGACTTATCTTGATACGATCTTTATTGGATAACAACATTTAGTCTTCATAATTAAACCGGAAATACAGACAAATACATATATTTTGGGTACAAAGGTTTATGATTTAATGTTTGTAATTATCGTTAATAGTAATCAAACTTAATCAATCTTATTGTTAATAGTAATTCTATATCTAGCATTTTGATTACTTTGTTTCGAGTTCTTTGACAATTTTCTACTTGAATTCATTCAATTCTTAATAGAAACTAGTAGATCCTTTACAATTATTTTATGTTAAAGCAAAACTAACGTTTAACAAGAGCGTTATTTGATTAATCAAGACAACAGCTTGGAAGTAATTATCTTAACGGTTGGACTACAAATCCGTTCTATAATAAGATTTGAAAACATCAATGAATAGAGAAATTATCTTTTAAAAGTTAACAAAATGGCATATGCTATGAAAGTCTAAGCATTTTTTTTCCTTAAAAACCCTGATGGGCTGTTTGGCAGGATCTGAATTTTTAAGATCTGGATTTTTAAGTGGTCTGAATTTCTAAGAGTGTCTGAATTTCTAAGAGGGTCTGAATTTTTAATATCTGAATTTTTATCATGTTGTTTGGTTGAAATCTCTGAATTGTTGTCTGAATTATAAAAATAACCATTTTACCCTTTTGTATTATTTTTTTCTAAAAAAATGTTTTTGTTTAGAATATAATTGGACCAACTTCTTTGATAATTATAAAAATATATAGATATAAACACCATACAAAATCCACATTAAACAAAAATCAAAATTATACATAAATATTTGACAAATCTAATCCAATTACCAATCATAGTTGCTTTGTTTTGGATGACATTTCTTTAACTAAATAGATTTTTCAAAATACAATAGAGGTGAAAGTTTGACTCAATAATAAAGAAATCAATAAAAGTACATTGCTATTTCTTACATATCATGACAAGTACAAACACATTCTTGAAAGAAAAACCCTTAATAGTTATTCTTGAAAGTAGTTTACAATTTGTATCAAGGAGAGTGGCAACTCATGAACCGGCAACAGAGCATGCAAAAAGGCATAGAAACATGCCCAATTAATGAACTGGAGATATAATCTCCGATGAACTGGATTTGAAATTCCGGACATATCATTGATGGTGGTTCCTTTTGTTTTAGCTGGAATCAGAACCTTTGCAAAGGACTTGGGCGTTGGAATTGCTGGTATCATATCACTTGTCAGCAATAGCTTTATGCTCAACTACATAACCACAAAGAAGGACAAATACATCATGAAATGGATATAACGGAGTTCACAGCTAATGAATAGAATGAAAAGAAAAAAAAAGTTAATAGAAAAGGATAAAACCCTTCTATGGTAAGATTGTATTCTTATTGAACTTTTGTTGCAATTTATTTACAGACTTCATCTGTGACCTAATCAATACACAGAAAAATGAAGGCAAATGTTGTTGGGTTTTTATTCAAAAATCTGGTTTCACAACCGATAAAATTGACAACGGAAGCTTTAAAAATGTTGAATAAAACTAAAACTATTTTACCCACCAATGATCATTTTGCAAGAGTTAGGAAGATTAAAACAACCATAGAAGGGAAAGCATAACAACCTTTGAAGACTTTGATCCTCATGGGAGGTTGGAAGTTGATGAAGTGTGGCATGAAACTCTAAAGCAAGAGTTCTCTACAAGTATCCACCAAGCAAGAGTGGAACCATCAAAACATGCTAGTATTCACTTGTAATTTGTTGTTCATAAGCCTTTGAAATATATACCAAATATATGTTCAAAGGTGAAGCAACAAAAGGGACATTCTTTTAACATCAAATGCAAGAGAATGGAGGAGAAGAAGGATGATTTAACTTCAAAATTTGGCGGCCTCTTGGGAGCACTTTTGCTCTCAGTTTTGCTAGCCAAAGAAGAGGAAGAATGAAGGCTTTCAAGCGTACCATCTAACCTTCCATGTCATCCCTTATATAGAGGCCAAAAAAGCAAAGGGAGACCATAAAGTAAAAGAGGGACAACTTTGTCCCAAGCATGGCAAAAGAAGACCATGCTTGGTCTCCTTACAATTTTCGAAAAAGGCATGTCCAAAAGAAGACAAAAGTTGTCTCATGACTAGTTTTTATACACATACATGTTATTTTTATAAAAATCAAGTATTTTTTATAAAGAATTCCCAATATATATATATATATATATATATATATATATATATATATATATATATATATATAACTAGTCATATATAAATATCTTATTTTATATAAAACTATCTTTTATAATTGTAACTAGCTTATTAAGATATAAATATGAATATAAATATCTTATTTTATATAAAACTATCTTTTATATAAATTGAACTAGTTTATTAAGATATAAATATAACTTATAAATAATCATACTTTATGATATATTTCATAAGTTGTTATTTCTCCAATAAATATTATTTCCATAAATAATAAATTCCCAATTAAATACAAGTGTTGATATATTTATTAATAATCAAATTATACTAATAAATAATCAATTGACGGTAACTTGCTATATGGTGTGACTCTATAGGATCATATATTATTAGCAATATCATTGTATAATGACTCTTGGGCATACTAGATCTTTCTAATGTTAGCTTTGAGGAGAAAGAAACTAAACTACAAACAGTCGCATTCTAATATAACATACATAAAAAGATTACTTAAATTTAATTAGATAAAAAGATTACTTAAATTTTTTTGAAAACTGATTTCGCATAAACTATCTATTAAACACAAATATTGTAACACCCCAATTTTCACGTCCAAAAATTTCTTTTTTGATTAATTGATTTGTAAAACATTTGTAATAAAACATCATCCGATCATATCATTTCATAAAAATATATCTCGTGTCTGAAAACCAAATCATAAAAATAATAATAATGTCAGAGTACAATCCCAGAACATCTCATAATGCGGAAAAACCAATGCGTGTGTGCATGTGTGCCGCTACCGCGCCAGCTCCTTCCCCTTCGCTGAAGAAACTACCCGAAACAAAACTGTAGACTGTAAGCACGAAGCTTAGTGAGTTCCCCCATCATCCACATACCATACAGTCATATAGCATACATACTGCCAGGCATTTCTGGGGCGCCTGACCTACCCGGTACGGCTATTCTGGGGTGCCGACCTACCCGTACGGCCATTCTGGGGTGCCGACCTATCCATGCGGCAATTCTGGGGTGCCGTCCTACCCGTGTCAAGCCATTCTGGGGTGCTGACCTACCCGTGTCGAGCCATTCTGGGGTGCTGACTACCCTTCGGTCCTAACAACCGAACCTCGGGGACTATTTCACCCCCTACTACTACTATCGCATATATCATAGCATAATCTACTGTCAGACATATCTGGGGTGTCCGACCTACCCTTCGGTCCTGACAACCTAATCTCGGGGACTATTCCTCCTCCTACTACCCCTATCTCATATAACATATCATGCTAGCAGCTAAACATATCATAACATACTGTTAGGCATATCTGGGGTGCCTAACCTACCCTTCGGTCCTAACAACCGAACTCTATCACTATCACATATCATATCACGCTAGCATATAACATATCAGGTAGTAGCAACACAGATGAATATCACAAAGACAAACATCTATCATACGATCCCTACTGGTGGGCCGGCATTGTGGCCGTAGACCCACCGCTACTGGAAGGTAACTCACCTCGTAGTAGCTGCTGATCTGTGCGGGAACTCTCTATCTGCTGCTGCTGCTCCGAAAATCCTCCGACTATAAATCCCACAAAACACACCATCAGAGTCTGATATCTACTCTTTGGGTAAAATGACCATTTTACCCCTGATCAAGTCAAGTCAAAGTCAAAGTCAACTTCCAGTTGACCTGACTCGCCGAGTTGGCTAGCCAACTCGCCGAGTCCCTAACCTTCCATTTGTCCTTATCCACGACTCTACTCGTCGAGTTGGGCCGTCAACTCGACGAGCTCTTCTCTCATATGAACGTCACATGAAAACTCATCCGACTCGCCGAGTTGATGAACAACTCGTCGAGTCCACCTTCATCTGATGAACAAGATCTGTCCTCGACTCGCCGAGTTGATGAACAACTCGTCGAGTTCTAAGAAAATTGCCTTGGACTCGCCGAGTCCATTCATGCACTCGCCGAGTCCCATGGACTCCAGGACAATGGCTTAGTCAAGAACGTTGGGTCACTCCCCGGGACCTCCTGAAATCTACCACACTCAACTGGGTCCTCATGACCCTCAACTGATATGGAACAGAAGCTTGGACTCGCCGAGTCCAAGAATGGACTCGTCGAGTTGGTCACATCCTCTCACTAAATCTTCGATTTCTGATGTACAACCCTTGATCAAAAGATAGATCTATGCTTCTACAATCGATCTAGCACGTAAAGTTACAACCTTTACGTGCTTGCATGGGACTTTGAGCTCAAAAGGTCCTAAAACAAGCTCTTACAATGCATGGGGCCTTCTTTGAGTGCAAAAGCCACTCCTTTCTGCCTTGTAACCCCTCTAAGGACCTAGATCCGAAACATCAACCCCAAACCATGCTTGCAATCATGGTTGGTGACCAAAATAGCTTAGAAAAGCCCTAAAACTCCACAAAATGGGATCTATCAAAAGAGCAAGCAAGGGATAGACTTTATACCTTCTGAAGACTGCAAATGATGCTCAAAACCGAATCCTTCTAGCCTCCTCTTGATCCTTCAAGCTTTTCCTTCCTTCCTTGGGTCACAAAAGCACCAAAATCACTCCAAATGCCTTAGATTGCTTCAATA